CACACACACACACACACACACACACACACACACACTCTCTCTCTCTCTCTCTCTCTCTCTCTCTCTCTCTCTCTCTCGGGTCCCAAAAGCAATATGCCTTTTCTCGAAATCTCCCCCTCGGTGCGCATCAACTACACGATCCACCAGCCGTCCACACCGACAGAAAAGCCGTGGGTCGTCCTGATCAACGGCCTCGCCGACCCGCAGACCACATGGGCCGCGCAGACCCCGGCCTTTACGGGCGCGGGATACACGGTGGTCACGTACGACAACCGCGGGGTCGGGCTGTCGTCGCGACCCGAGAGTGACGACGAGGTCTACACGGCCGAGACCATGGCAGGGGACTTGCGCAGCCTGGTCACGGCGCTCGACTTGCACGGACCGTACCACCTCATGGGCGTCAGCATGGGCGGCATGATTGCGCAGACCTACGCGCTGGCGTACGGCGCCTCTGGAGAAATCGCCAGCCTCACCCTGGCGTGCACGTACGCCGCGCCGGGACCTTTCTGTAGCAGGATGTTCGCCCTGTGGCGCGACATGGCGCAGCGAATGTCCGTCGCCGATGTCATGCGCGACGTGGCCCTGTGGGCATTCACGCCGGCCTTCTTCGCTGTCGACTCGGCTGACCTCGTCGCCATGGAAGCCGACATGGCCCGCATCGACAGCGACATGGGCCTGCGCGCCTATCTGGCCCAGTTGAACGTCATCACCACGTTCGACACGCGCGCCTCGCTGGAACGGCTGGGACAGATTACGCTGGACGTCAAAGGTGGAAGTGGAGGTGAGAAATCAGAAGGAGCAGCAGCAGCAGCGGCGGCGGCGGCATCAAAGATCAAGACCCAAGTCATCGTCCTCGCCGGCGAAGGCGACATCTTGATCCCCGTATACCTGTCCCGCGAGCTACACGCCTTCATCCCCGGGAGTCGCTGGCGCACCACCAAGGGCGGGCACGCCTGCATGTGGGAGTATCCGGACCAGTTCAACGAGGCGTGTCTGGAGGAGTGGAGGGACGTGGATGAGAAGATTGGTGTTGCTCGTCAAGGCACGTAGGCTGGCGAGGGGGTGGGAGGGTACAAGTCTTGCTTGTGCATTGTGTGTATGTGTGATGTATGATGTTACTGGCGAGCGATGAATGAACGAATGAATGATTCAACGAACGAACGAACGAATAAATCCATAACCAAAAGACTCTCTCTCTCTCTGTATATGTCATAATAACGTTTTTATACTCTTCCCTATGTACTTCTCGCTCACCCCACCAGCCGGAACCCGCGGTCCGTCTTCTCCCACCTGACATCCATCTTCTGAGCCAGGCGCAACACCTCGCGGGGGCTGTGGACGTCGCTGACGACGGCGCGGGCGTCGCTGGTCAAGGGGTGCGAAAAGGCCGCGAGGCTCGACGCCTTCCACAGCAGCGTGTGCTCGCGCACCGTCATGGCCATGGTGCCGAGGAGCAGCACGAGCGCCAGGCCCAGCAGCGCCGCCGGCAGGGCGATCCAGCCCCAGCGCACCAGCACGTGCGGGCGGTCCTGGTACACGGCGCCCAAGGCCGCGGGGACGGCGTCCGTGACGAACGCGTACGAGCGGATCGTGTCGCTGAGCGATTTGGCCAGGCTGGCGAACATGCGCTGGAACTGCACGAGGGGCGTCTGCTCATAGAACAGGGCCCACAGAAACAGCGCGATCGCGCTCGTCGGCGTGTTTGTCGGTGGCGTCCCCGACATGAGGACCTGGCCTTGCCACTGCGTGGCGAAAAACTCCCGCATCGCCCCGATGTTGTTGCTCTGGTACACTCGGATGTAGCTGGCCGGGTCGGACTGGTTCGTGAAGGACGTCGGCGGCTCCAGCGCGTACACGCCCGGTGAGGTGTAGTTGCCGGTCGAGTAGGTGTCGACGACGCGTTCGCTGAGGCGCCCGCGCGACACGGACGTGTTGAACTTTTGCACGCAGTAGTAGATGCCGCACTCAAAGGCCTGCTTGGTGGCGATGCCGTTGATGTCGCTCGCCGGCGCCAGGTCCCCCCACCCTTCGACCCCGTAGCCCCATTGCGTCTGGATGACCGAGAGCACCGACAGGGCCGTGGCGCCGTCAAAGTGGACCGCGTTGGTCGTGTTGGCCGACACGTCGATCGACGAGTAATTGACCGACGGCACGCCCGACACGGTCAGCCCGTTGGGCAGCGAGTAGTTGCAGTAAGGGAGGGAGATGTCAGAGGCACCGACATCCTGCGAGGGCACCAGTTGCGTCCCGCACGATTTCTGCAACGAGGCCGTCACGTCGTGGCACGCGCTGCACACGGCCATGGACGTGTACGTTTCGTGCCACGTGCAGTTGCCCGTCGGGCACGACACGTTCTTCACCTCGGACAGGTCCGTGTACTGGTAGATGCCCGAGTAGATGGCTCCGACCATGTCATTGGAGATGCTGGTGGCTATTCAACGGGGTTTGTCAGCCCAGATTCATTATGATGGAGGGGAAGAACACGGATTAAGCCAGGAGGAACTCCGAGGAAGATACTCACTGAGAGAATTGCTGCCCCAGTCCAGATTCGTGCGCGGGATCCGTGCAATGTCAACCTGCACCGGCTGTAGGGGGTACACCACCATTGCCTGGAACGCGAATCCAGTCCCCAGGGCGGCAATAACGATCACGGCACCTAGACACGCGAGACGTCTTTGGGGTTCATTGTCAGCTCTCATGATCACGATCAGGCAGGAGGTGATGAGAAAAAGACAGGATCTCCAAGGGTATGGTGTATTGCATATGACTTACCGACAACGCAACGTCCACAATAACACAAGCGACCCCAGGGGTCCACGAGCCGCCGACTCGAATTTTTGGAAATCAGCCAGCGGCCGCTTCTCGTTCTGGAACCAGATCCATTTCAACTGGCTGATGCTGGCGGCGACGGGGATCAGGAGGCCCGAATTGAAGGCCGTGGCAAAGATGGAAATGATGGTGTTGATGGTCAGGTCAAATGATTTGCGGTGTCGTCCGGCGCCCACGTGCAGCGTCCACGTCGGCGCTTCGTGTCCGTTGTGCACGGCCAGCAGCGCGATCGTGCCGATCAAGCAGCCCAGCGCCAGCGTCCAGCCGAAGAACTCGAACAGCCAGTACTTCTCGACGACGTTGAGGATTCGTGATGCCAGATCCCGAGTTGGTGGTGGCCCCTCGATGCCCTTCTCCGACGGTGGCAGGGCAGTGGTTTCTGGGACATCCTCGATTTTGATATGGCCTTGCCGTTTGGAGCTGTCGAGAGCCTCCATTGGGAATGCTGTCATGTCCGGCGTCGATGTCTTTGGTATTTCCGCTGTCGTTGTTACTGCTACAGCTGCTCCTCTCGTCTAAAAAGACAGCGATGCCGGTCCCGCGCCATATTATTGAAATGCCGTCCCCTGAGCGCCCTCTTCCTACTAGGTTTCTTTCACGTGTCTGGTAAACACGAGTAGATAGCCAGCCATATCTGGACCTCAACGGCGAGCCCGTGGTGGCGTCGCTTTTGAGTAGCTGGATGCGGGGCCCCTAACGAACAATAGTTACCCGAGCCACAGGTAGCGGGTGAGTGGATTAGGATCAGGCAACGTCCCCGCCGAAATTGCCCGAAAGGGGGAGGGACATGGCTTGAAAGAGAAAAGAAAAAGTGGAAATTACATAGACGACCGATTAAGCGGCAGAAACCAGATTTGCAGGAGGCCACAGCAAACGCTGGTCTGTGTGGTCGGCGCTGGTCTGGACTCGCCTGGATGGCCGAAAAGGGGTGGATACTGTGGGTCCAGCCTTGTCTCCACTTTCCCAACTAGTGTTTATCGCTTGAGACAGACATGCATGGTCGAAGCCAAAAAACACCATATCATCTTGATGCTCCAGGGTTCTGGCTCACCCCAGGGTGCCAGGCTAAGAGGATCGGTGGAGTTCCTCGCATCGAACCCCCTCAAAATGTGCCTCTGATTGTTCCTTTCGAGCAAACTTCGACGCCGTCACCAGCACCAATTGGCTCCCCTAAGAAGTTTTTCTTTCTATCTTTGGCGAAGATGCCCCTCGCTAACAGAAATCTCCCGCGGCGGACTTTTGTGCCGCAACGACTCGGGTACGAGGAAACAGCCCAACTCAACCACCCCCCTGTCCGCCACGTGTGGTCTGCCAAACATCGAGCTCGCCATCGACCTCGTCCATGCTTTGAGCTATCCCCCCTTTTAACGCTTAGGTACCTCCAAGGACATTGTACTTGGACACTTAGGGCTACAAGGCAAGCGAGGTCTCGTGCCGATGGATCTTCCAGAGGTCCAATTTTTCCTCTCTCTCTCCAGGGCGGGTCTCTGCAGTCACTTTGGGGCATAGCTCCTTGTTCTGGTCCTGGCTTTGTCTCTGTCCATTCTCCTCTGCCATGTTTGTGGCTTGCTGTGCTCTGCTGCTGTGCTCGTTCTCGGCGCATCTGAATTGAAACCTTGTCGCCGCATAGGGAGCAAGTCCGGATTGTGGCTCCGCGCGGACAGCGCAGGAAAAAATGATGTGCTTGGAGATTTGCCGGTAAGGAACGGCCGCCTCGTGGAGCGGGACGGCTAGAAAGGTAAGAATGGCTCATCTTCCCTCGATGTGCCTCCTCGTATAACTATTTCCCTCGACCTTCCGTCCTTCTTTTCAAAGCCACCATTCTTTGCTTCTTGTGGACAGGAATTACATTCCAGGTCAGGTAGTTTCATCCCCCTTATTACCTACATATCTTGACAGGATGGTCGTCAAAGACGCCATTGTGACGGTGCAAGACGCCATGTCCGACTACCAAGACAAGCAGTCGACGCACTACACCACCCGCAGTATCGAGATGACACGGCAGTCCTCGAGTCCTATCAACAGAGCTCCCTACACGACTCAACGGCAGCTCACTGATAGTGACTCCGACGATGAAGGATTGACACAGCTTGGTTTGAAATGGCAGCGGATAAGGAAAAATGTCCTCCTGCGGTACATCATCTACATTGTGCCTGTGGCCGTGCTGTTGGCCATCCCCATTGTCCTCTTCGCCACGGTATACAAGGACTCGAGGATCATGTCCACTTACAAAACAACGTCCACAACCCCGCTCACCACCACCAACGTCACCCATGTCGACCCTGTGACCGGCAACAGCACCTCCGATGTCACTTCGCTGTACAACACCACAACCGCAACCATCTACGAGACCACCACCCACACCGAACACCGTGGCATCCGTCTCCTGGGTCTCTTCATCTGGATCGAAGTGGTCTGGGTCCTGCTGTGGGTTGCCAAACTGCTGGCCCAGGCGGTCCCGATCGTGTTCCAAACCGTCGGTGGAGCCATTCACACAGGCCTCCGCAAGTACTGGCTGGTGCTCAAGGCGGTGGAAATCCCGCTGTCGCTCTTCTTCTGGGCCATCCTGTCCATCGCATCCTACTCGCTCATCTACGTCTTTGACCAGGACTTCCACAATGACCACGCCGGCAAGATCAAATGGCTCCACACGCTGCACAACGTGCTCAAGGCCTCGATTGGCGTCGCGGCCCTGTACCTGGTGGAGAAGATGCTCATCCAGATGGTCAGCGTCAACTACCACGGCAAGCAGTTCTACGACAACATCAAGGAGCTGAAGACGCTCAGCCGCGCCATCGAAACCATGTACGACGTCTCGCGTCGACGGTTCCACGACAACCATCCGGCCTTTATCGAGGATGACCTCGATATCCAGGACACCAAGGGATACCGCAAGGACCGGCTCGGTCGGTTGAGGAGCAAAGATCAATCCACGGCCATTTTGATGACGAATCTCGGCAACGCCGCCGCCAATGCCACCTCGGTGCTCGGATACCTCGTCAGCGACATCGCCGGCCGACAGGTTCTCATGCCCACTGCGTCTGGCCCCGTCGTCGAAGCCGCACTTGAACGGCCCGTCAGCACCGAAGCCCTCGCTCGCCGGATCTGGAACTCGTTCACCAACTTTGGCGAGACCAAGCTGGATCAAGCCGCCATCACGGCCATGCTCGGACCCGGCCACGAAGACCAAGCTCTGTACATCCACTCCAAAGTCGACGCCGACGAGAACGGTGACCTCACCATGGAAGAGATGGTCGACCTGGTGAAAAAGGTCGCCAACGACCGCAAGACCATCTGGGAAGGGGCCAACGACGTCAAAGATGCCATCAAAGTCCTTGACCGCGTGCTGGGCGTCATCGTCTTGATCTTCGTCTTCCTCATCTACGCCGCCTTCTTCTCCGACTATCTCGCCAACCACTACACCCAGATCTGGTCGACCTTTACCGGTTGTTCGTTCCTGTTCGCCAGCACCGCCGGTGAGCTCTTTGCCGCCTGTATCACGGTCTTTATCAAGCATCCCTACGACGTCGGTGACCGCATCATTGTCAACGATAGCGAGATGGACGTCGTCAAGATCTCCCTCCTGTATTCCGTCTTCCGGGAGGTGCAGTCGAAGCAGATGATCCAGATCCCCAACAGCAACATCAACGGCGTCTGGATCAAGAACGTCACCCGGTCGAAGGAGCTCCGGGAACAAATTTCGCTCAACGTCTCGGTGGGGACGTCGTTCGAGGACATTGAAACTCTTCGCGGGGAGATGCTCAAGTATGTCAGCGAGCACAAGCGGGATTTCATGCCCATGGTGGACATCCAGCTGATCTCGATCGCGGACCTGTCCAAGCTCGAGCTGCGTGTCGAGTTCCAGCACAAGGGCAACTACGCCTCGGACTTTGTCCGCGCACAGCACCGCAGCAAGTTCGTGTGCGCGCTGCTGTCGGCGGTGCGGAAGGTGCCCATCGACGGTCCGGGTGGCGGCGGCCCGTCAGCCGGATCGATGGAATCGCCCAACTACACGGTCGCCATCACGAGTGACGTGGCCAAGGCGGCCAAGGCGCACTTTGACGAGGAGAAGGATAAGAAGCGGATGATCCCCAAGACCCACGGCCCTGCCGCCAGTGAGATCGGGGTGGCGGTCGGAGGACCCGTGGGCAGCACGGGGCTCCAGGTCCAATCCAGCGAGGCGCGAAGCAGGACTGGCGGTTCGGGGCCACGGGGCTCGGACGACTTCACCAATATTTCTCTGCATAGATGATGATTGCCCGTCGTGAGAAACGGATCTGATTTACGAGGGGTTCGAAGACGACAAGGAAGGCTTCTGGTTTAGAGATTTTACTTGGTTTTCGGATCTATTGACTGGCAAGCGTAGATTGTACTTTTAGCTCAGCAGGTGGTCTTTTGTGTGTCTGTGACTTTTGAACTCCAGACCGAGTATAACTATCCCTCGCTATTTATTTGGGTTGAGAGGGATGTATTAATGAGAAATGGTCCTCTGAGAAATCCCTCCAAAAATGTGTTTTTTTTTTCAAGAAACCGATGCTCTAATAATAGCCTCTCTTTAACTCTGAAAGAAAGGTCGAGAGGACTTGCAGTAAATTTCTAATTTCCTCAGGTTGGCTTGTCTCTTGTTTGTAATATTTTGTTACTGGCGAGGCTGCGCAAGGCTGAACAAGATCATCGGCGTTTCGTGGTGATTGGAGAAAAATCTTATGTCATCAGCCGAGGTCTTTCGATTCGACTCCCGACCAACATCGGAAGCTGCACAAGCACACAAGCAGACGAGGCTTTGACGACCACCACCACCTAGTCACTCAATTTCTGTCAGGAAAGACGGGAAAGGCGAGGACGCGGACAAGATCAATCCCAAGAAACGAAACGAATACCAAGGAGTTGAACGAACTGTTGAAGCGAGCCGAGTCAGTCAGCATCTCAAGTCGATCGATCCCGCCAACAATTTCAGACACTGTCCTTGAATTCGCCAACTGGAGGTGGGAGACTCGTATTTCTCGACGGGAGACGAGGATACAGTGCAGCACAGCATAGTACAGTACGTTATCAAGGCTGGTTCTGTCGGAACTTCCAACCTACGCACATAACCGACACTCGAGTACTTCGAGTTTGAGACTGAGACTTAGACTTTGATCTTGCGTCTCGAAAAAAGGATGTTGGGGCTCGATATCGCGGCGAAGCGGAAACGCGTGATTTCGGATTATCCGTACAGGCTGGAGTATCGGACACGATGGTAAGTATACACCCACTTCAGCACCAGCAGCACCAACAACACTTGCGACCGTCAATGTACCTCGTCTCTCTGTCTTTCTTTTCTCTGGCCATGTGTCCCTATCGAATTTGAAACCAGTCCCTAACAAACGGCCCCTCGTACCCCCGGGGTGGACTGTGCAGGAGCGACAACGACGTCTTCGGCCACATGAACAACCCGTACTACGGCGTGCTGTGCGACTCGGTCGCGAACCAGTACCTGATCGAGCGGTGCGGGTACACGATGCACAAGAGCCCGCAGGCCGCCATCATCGCGCACACCTACTTCGACTACTTCGGCAGCGTCGAGTACCCCGGCGTCATCGAGGTGGGCCTGCGCGTCGCCCGCCTCGGCAAGTCCAGCGTTCTCTACGAGGTGGGCATCTTCAAGAAGGGCGAACCCCAGGTCAAGGCCGTCGGAGGGAGCATGCACGTCTGGGTCAGTAATGACCAGGGAGTGCTGGGGCGGCCGACCCCCGAGGGCATGCCGGCGCATGTGAGGCGCGGGTATGAAGCGTTGATGGAGCCGGGTGCACTGAGCGGTGAGAGTGGGAAGGAAGACGAGGGAAAGCCGAAAGCAAAGTTGTGAGAAATGTCATAATAGATGGACTCCTGATGTCTCTGTGGCGGCAATGAGGCTTCGTGTCTGGATAAAGAATAAAGATCTCAATATCCCTCACTTCCTCTTCTTCTCTTCCTTCTTCTCGTAAACCAGCACGCCCGCATCACCCAACCCCCCAAGAGACACACTAACATCCATCACCACTTCATACACTCATCCTTTGTCGTCCTACTGCAACCACGTCCACGCAGACATGACGCCCCCCAACCCCGTCACCGCCCCGGTCACCCAATCCCCATGGCGCAAATACCACGCACTACTGACCCCGTACAGCGCGGCGGTCATGGCGACGATGACCCGGTCCACGCCCGTCCACGCGGCCGGATCGCGTTGCGACAGCTGGTACGTGGACAGCGCGGCGATGCTGAAGAAGACGCTGCCCTGGAACCAGCCGGCTTTGGCGTAGCAGCGCAGCAGGGCGGGAAGGGCGGACCACGCGGGTAGGCCGAAGGTATTGAGGCCGTGGACCTTTGCGGTGTGTTAGTATTTTTATTTTTAGATAGGTGTGTGTGCCTCTCGGGGGAAAGGTGAGAGAAAGGGAGGAGGGAGAATGAAAGACAGACTGGACTTACGGTGTGTCCCACCGCGACGAGGGCGTGGGTGATGCTCGTGGCCAACACGACCCGCGACATTTCTTGTGTATGTTCTGTATATCTTGGTTCGGTAGCTCAAGAATTATTCCTCAGCTGCTCCAGCCGGGTTGATGGTGATCGATTAATGTCCGGTGGGTTGTGGATTTGCGGGGTGAATTTATTGTGTTACACAGACACAAACACACAGCTTGGACTCGAAAGTGAATTAATAGATAGATAGATAGATGGGTTAATTCATCTACCATCAACCCTGCATCCTTCATCCCATGGCTTCCTTCTCATCCTATATATCTAATCCCTCCATCCATCTATTCCATCCATCAACATCTCGTCCGTGCCACCCCTGACCCTTCCTTCTTGGCTCTCGAGCTGGAAACGGACGTGAGAACGCGGAACCGAGGCTTTCGTGCGTACGGCGTTGCTGAGGCATCGTATCCAGTCTAGCCACACGGGACGACATTTACACCGAATGAGTCGCCTAACGATCAGGGACAACGTCGAATCCCTTGTTGGAATACTTTGCCTTAAGATCACGGTATAGCTCAAGCTCGCCAAGACTACTACAGTGTAAATGAATCACAACAGGTACTCTGTAGAACGGGAACAATGCTATAAAGTGCAGACTGCAACGTTTCCTCATGTTGTAACGTCAATCCAGTCAGCTTTGCATCTAATTTCGTCAAGAAAACATCGCTCCCACTGTTTCTATCTTGATCTCTTTCCTCCCCCAGACGAAGTACCTAGCGTCTCGCTGAAAGCCCTGACTGTCTTCTTCGTAGTCGACCTCGCGTACTGCTGTTCAAATTGCGTGAAGGCCGTGCCTGTCCCTCTCCAAAAATCCCGCATCGACGTTCGCTTCTTCGTCCGCACCGACGAGCTCTTGCGGGAGACGGCTTTCACGGAACCTGCTGTGACTTCTATGACGCGCTTCGGTGGCTTGACGAACAGACCCGTCGATACTTCACGATACTCCTGTGGTTTAGCCGAGACAGCAGGTATCGAGGCAATGGTCGCAGGGTCTAGAAATTCTTGGTTTGGTGTTGTCCGTCGTGAAAGACTCCTGTCGACATCTGGTGTTCCTAGTTCAGGCGATGCTGTACGAGCTGCATCTTCACGCCATCTTTCGATCGAATCCATGCAACTCCCAACAGCCTCTTCCTCGCCTCGGGCTACATGTTGAAACTGCCCTTGTTGCACTGCAGTCAACTCGTTCATGACCAATAGGTTTGCTGTCTTGGCTGACAGGACCGGCGCCGTGGGGAAAAACTGCCCTCGTTCATGTATTGAGGGCTCACCCACAATCGATCTCCTCGGGGTCCCTCCTCGTCCTGGCACCTTTTCCAGCATCCAAGGTCTAATGATCCTTTGATGATGGCTGGGGTCTTCAATACCGTGGAAAAATTCAACAAAACCTACAGCTGCCGTACCTGCGGTCCTTGTATACGGCTGATAGCTGTGGAAATGGTGAAAGACTGCATCATCGAGATGCGACTGATGAATCGCCTTGGGCCACGGCATGCGGACCCAGATCTCCTTGACAAAACAGAATGAGTTGAGAAAATCATCCACGCTCCCGGCATAGTCGGGGTACGCCGTGCGATATCTGACGAAAAGACTATCAGCCCCAGTTGACTTGTTCTCCTCGTCAACTCCACCATACGCAGATTGACCGGTGATGGGAGTCGACGTCCGCCGCAATGCGAGGGTCGTAGAGTCTAGCGGTTGATCCTGTCGTCTGTGCCCCGGTGCTGGTCCCACAAGGCTCGTGGGGCTGTCTGTATCAATTCGTGACGACCGAGGAGATCGACTTGTCAACAACTGAGGCTCGCCAGTCGATCGCAAGGTTACCGGATGGTGTTGCTTCGCTTGCTCAGACGCCAAAGTCTCACTGTCGCGGCCCACAGTCATCCTCGGCTCTGAAGCAGGACGTCGCAGAGAGTTCTCGAGCCTGTCAATCTGACCTCGTCGCTGTCTATGATCTTCGGATGCCTTCTCAACGATCTCTTCATTTTTGAGATCGCTGTCAGCGGTTTCTTGCTCTTGCCGTAGCTTTTTGACGGGAGCATTGCGGCCTTTCGAGTCTGTGCGCTTTCGTTTTGCCGATACAGAAGAAATTGGTTCACGGCTTGCAGACACAGCCGGTGATGGAGGGTTTCCGTCGTTGTCAGAACTGATTGAAGGCTGGAAACCATTCTCTGCCGCACGGTCTTGTCCTCGTACAGATACAAGACGACTGTGGACCACTCCTTGAGAGCTAGTGCTCACAGAAAGAGCATCTCCCGCACTGACGTTGCGGGCAGGGATCGGGGTCTTGCCCGAATGAGTGTGGTCGATCCCCGTCGCTTGAAACACCTGTGGTGCAAAGTGTGCTGCAGTGAGGCTATTGTGGGCCGATCCCGCGGTCGGATTTGAGCCCTCATCTGCGGGCAGAGCCTCGATACCTGGTTCCATCACTGCCACTGCAGCAATCTCCCCTGAGCTTGGCTCGTCGTAGGTCCCAGGGACAAAGGTCGAAGCTGGATATCCATCACTGATCTTTTTCTTTTGAATAGTCAAAGCGTTTTGGGCACCCACGAGACGGGAAAAATAGGGTCCTTTCCCGCCGTAGGGCGTCCGCGCAACTTGAATCCCGTCAGACTTTGAGCTGCCTCGTATCCCAACAACCTTGGGAGGCACCCCTTCTTGGGACGAGCTCTTATCACTCGGGTCAGCTTGCGGTAACTGCGCTGATTGTGGAACCTCCGCAGGCGATGGTCTTGAACTGACACTCTGATGCGAACTCGCTTCCAAAGGACCGGGACTATGTTCACGGGACAATGATTGAGCCTCGCGCCCTTGCTCCCGGTCGGCAGGGTTGTTGGACAACGGTTCTTGACCACTGCACAATGGGCTCCCCTCGTTTGGATTCCCAGCAAGATGGGGACGCTGTTTCTGTCGCGTGAGATCCAGTGGCGGACTATTCGGCGGTAATCTAGTGACTCGCCGCAGTTGAGTTGGTGGGCTCTGAGACCAATCGGCAAACTCCTCAGAGTCGCTCACATTTCCTTCACTGGGGGCCCCTGATTTCAACTCCTCGTCTCCTGAGTCTTGCGCTGGCGAAACACCTTGCGTTGAGATATCAGGTGCTGCAATCTCCAGAGATGAGCCGAGATCACTCGCTCGATTGTCAGCAGCGTCCGAGAGTTGTACCAGGAGGTCTAGAGGCACCCCTCCTGGCCTCTGGGGGCGACCCACGAGTGGCGGTTGCCAACAGTCCCCAGACTCCAAAAGGGACGCCAATAGCTGTGCCTGCTGACGCGGGATCTGTTGGATGCGCCTGGGAACATATCTGCCTGCTTGTGCCTCTTTTTGCCACCGATTAAAGTGGCCCAGAGGCTGTTCAGCCGATGAGATAACATTCGGCCTTACCGGACTCGATTTGGTGGATAGCTTAGGTATCTCTCCATGGTTTTGATCTGCCGACTGTCTTGAAGATCCAGGAATGTTGCCTCCTAGCTCAGACATCTCCACAGGACTGCTCTTGTCATGGTTTGTTGCGAGAACCGGAGTAACTTGAAGTCCTGGCGAATTAGGATTTGTTGACCGTGACAGAGCTCTGGTTGCGAGTCCTGTTGCTGGGCCATCTGTCGTTGGTAGAGCCAATAGAGACTCGTGAGGGGGTGTAATGCTTCTACCCCTAGCGAAGGTGCGATCCCCCCCTGGCGCAGACCGTTGTGCTTGTTTCGAAGGGCTACCATATAAAGAGCCGATTGAGCCTTGTCTACTCAGGGGTGGTGGCACTGATTGATTCTCGTCGCACCTAGTGGCAGGCCCATTTCCGTTGCTAGAGGTCGACTCTATCTGTGTGGTTGTGTTCCAGTAAGTGAAACCGTTGGGAGCCTGTGTACAGAATGACTGATGAGAGACATCTTCATCAGGATCACCACCAGGCTTTCTATCCACATGGTCTACCTGGGTATTGAAATCAACCTGTGATTTGAAGGAGTCGGGACTGCCGCTTGAGGCGGGAGTCAACGGAGCACGATTCTGCTCCTTCACGGCCCAATACTTGGATATCCTTTCGCGTACATCTTTGTCTTCAGTGACAGCGCAGCCAGAAGAATGGTCTTGTTCCAGCTGGGCCGTCTCATTCACAATCCTGTAGGCCGCAATCTCGAGCAAGGGTTTCGGTGGGTTGACATGAGGAGTAACGCGAAGGACAGGATTGGTAAGGTGTAGGAGTGTCCCTTGCTGAGCATCGGACCGTTTTATTTCGACTGCGGTGCCCTTGGTGAAGATGGCTTCAATCTTGTGGGTTCCGTCAGAGATCTCCCCGCAGGGTTCTATCGTACCAAGTTTCGGCAGCTGATATAGAGAGTCAGCCCATTTAGCCTAGACAATTACCCAAACTCGTCCTTACCTTCAGCAGGTACACGGTTCTGGAACATGTCGCCCTATAGCTTGCTTTCAGTTTGTCGTCAATCTTGTGAAACTGATAGTCGGTAGTGCGGCATCCTTCAAGTTCACCGAACCACGCATCGAGACTGGACTTGATGAAATCGGCCAGCCAAGGCTTGTGGGGTTCCATAGGCCCCGGGAGATTGATACATCCGAATATACACGATCGATATTGAAGGGTCACATCATTCGACGCAACGAGATTCCTGGATTCAAGTGTCTGCGGTGCCGCATCGGGAGGTGCCTGTTTGCTGTTCACGGGCAGGTCTGACGCGTTTCGACGCGACTTTACTCGGTAAATAGATGCCAAGGCGAGTAATTGACAACTGCTCGCTCGCCCCTCACCCCCGCGCCCCGCCTACTTGTAGGGTGACGCCGCCCTGTGCTCAACACAGTCGAGCTCAGTCCTTGTTTGATAGCTCTTCATAGTAGTTTGTATCAACGATGGTGCTTGCAAAAGAGCCTCTTCAAACACGTCCTGACCTGACGGCGTGGCAAATACTTTGCCAATATCCTGGACGATTCACCCTGCTGCCTGCAATTGGATGAATTCCTGCGACCAATAATGATCCCTGTGTTGACTTTTGACTGACAGTCGCGGTGTAGCATTCAAGTACGGAAGTAAGAAGCCCTGCTGCAACGCCTGCTGCTGCCTAGTCAACTCTCTCTTGCGCCTCTGGGACTTGATCACAAAATATTCCGCCTTCCTTCTCTTAGACATCAGGACCACGTCTGCCTCTCCCCGAACAGCGATTCTCTATCGTCCAGATCAAAGCACCGAGCTATTCCAGTCCCGAAGCAATCTAGCAATGTCTGCTCCGACTACCAACGACGGCAACGCCCAACCTGCAACCGGCTATACTGGTCCGCCCGCGCACATCATGATCAAGGAGCACATCCTCACCGATGAGATAATCAAGCGCCACAACGACCCTGAATCCATCCTGGGAGGTCCAGAGTTGATCCTCCTCAATGAATACGTCCAGGCTCCAGATCACAGGCTCGACATACTGCGGGAGCACGATATGCTTGATGCGGAAGGCGCTAGAACGGGCTCACGCGCTCAAGAGGCCCACCATAGTATTGTTGGCTGGGCAATGGCAAACGATTACTTCAACGAGGAAGATATTGCGAAGCTCAAAGGATGGTTTGATGCAGGAAATGCTGACGAAAGTATGATGGAGCATGGCTGGAAAAGGCAGTGAGACTTGTCTCCACGACATTCTCTTCTCGCACTATAAAGTGGCGCGAAAGCGATTCGTGGCCAGTGTCTGCACGCAGGCCACCCCATCATTTCCTCATCGGCGGGCCGGAGACGCGTTTGGCCTTGTTTTCTCCCATCTTCGTAGGTGACCTGAGTCATGGTCAATTGCAAAGTACTGTGGGCGAAGACCAGCGGACGAAGAGGAGACGAATGCTGAGGATATACGCTATGGAACCTACTAAAGCAGGTCTATATTGGTATCCATGTCTGACTCGCGAATAGCCCCGTACATGAGCCCGTCGACGTAGCATTCCCCGCGTAGATGGTAACAAGTCTCCTCTGATGCCTTTTCCAGAACAAATGGTGTCTTGAGTCCATGAATCAGGTATATCGGTGACCCAGGTCTGGTCTGAGCAGGTCCCAGGCCGAATCTTCCGTTCTTGGTGACGAAAAAGTTCCTATATTTGCAGACCTCGACCGCCTCGTACCCATAAGTGCACGCATCCGAAATTCCCTCGCTAATTGGGATGAAATAGTGGTGTAATCTGTCTTCGGAACAGTCCTCCTCTTGGTCCGAAACATGAAGAAGCCTCTTGGCCCAGCATCTGAAGCGTTCGATTTGTTGGGCCCGTGTTCGAGGCATTCCTGGCGAGGGCGCAGCGGCTGTTCTGCCGTCGGCGATAAGTGTCATGGCAAACCGATGCATCCAGTCTTCACCTTGATCACCTTCTGCATCTCGACCACAGACAGATCTTGCCAGAGCAAACCAAATGTTGAGAATTCCTTCAATTTTGAATGTTGAGTCCTCGATCGCAGGCAAGTCCGGTAGAAGTGGCAGACCAACAACCTTCATTTCGTCCACAAGGAGAACTCTGACGCGCAATATCCGTCGAGACGAATCAAGTTGAAAGTCTGCAGCAGAGTGAGTTGCGGAAAAAGCAAGACTATCGTTGACAGAATTCTCCGAGTGGAACGGCAGCGGCCTTGTTTTTATCCTCCAATCCGGGCTCCACGTGGCGGCCACGCTCAATTCGTCGTCCATGTAGGGTACATTATAGATTTGAAGTCCATCAGCAGTGCGGACAATGACAGTTCTGCTGTCGCCCGCGAAATGCAGGATGTCCAAGTTCCCAGTGGCAGAAATGTATGACTCGGCAAAAATTTGGTAGGCTCCGCCTACATCGGTGCGGTAGTTGGGAGAAAACCACGGCAAGGGGTTCCCCTTAAAAGCCACGCTGACAAGTGCATTGAGTCTGTCTCGATCGTCTGTACAGTTCCAGCGACTAAGCCTGTGTGCCAGGTGAAGGAAGCTCTGTGAATTCCCCGCCATGATTGAACGTCTCAAGTTGGTCAGCTGAAGCACACGGTTGAAATCGTTCATCACATCCAATGAGGGAGGAAAGAACGCGATCATACTGATGATTCGCAAGGCGCTGCAGAAGGCGTCTCCAGAGGTGTCGAATTTCCCGCATCGGATACTGAGATTGGAAGACAAAGCAACCTCTTGGACCACCCATAATCTGGTAAACCATGGTCGTTCGACCAAGGCGAATGCACCTCGCCAGGCTGCGTTAGTGAGATCGGCGAAAACTTGAAATGGATGATCCAAACATAGCTCTTGAACGAGTTCCTCGAGTATAAGAAGGTGACGCTGAGCTTCCGATCCTTCAACGACGCCATCAGGCTCACTTGACAGAGCCGCAAAGACCTCAAGTAATCGGAACGCAAGCCTGGTGTCCTCTGCTGGCTTTCCAAGCCAGGCAATAACCAGATGGGCTTGACCATAGATTTGCGCCATAAGAGCCACTTGCGATTCTTTTTCATGGTCATCAGTTTGTCTGATGCACAGCTGGTCTGTCCAAATCAGCTTTACTTCTCTTTCTCGTACAATCTCCGAGAGACCATCGAAAAGCGATTCCGACACAGTGATGATGCAGTCCTTGGACAGAACAACGTGCTTTGTACGTGGCCCTCCCCACGCGTATGAAATAGCGCAGTATTCTGGACAATCGGACAATCGAACTGATGTTAGACAGCCATACAGCCGTCCATCTGGTAGGTCGGATCTCGATAACTCGAACAGCCTTATGCTGTCATCCCGTTCTAGAGAGGGGTAGGCAGAAGCTGACCCCATATGTGGTTATCTCACTTCGTTGAATGATGGAGATGAAGCCTGCAGAGTGACAGAGAAGAGCAACGATTAACTCAAGTCTTCTGGGAAGTTAGAGGATCCTCGACACGTCTTTTGCCATCTTTTCTCGAATAGACATGTTTTGGCAATTTCGAATGGTGCAGAAGACGAAGGCAACCATGCTTGATAGGCCCAACGAATACGAGACGACCAAAATCCAAGTAACATGCCCTTGCAATCATTTGGCCATTGGCGGCCATGTGCAAAACTCCAAAGACGAAACCCCAGACGAACGAAAAGTATTATACCTTTTACCAAGATCTAACTAAACTCTGCCACGGCACGCTTTGGCGGTCCTGAGATTAGCTCTTGCATAGACGCTGACCGGGGTGACCAAAAGACGCAACGCAATGTACGCCTCTCAACCGTGAAGCGGAATCTTAGGCCACCACAGCTGACCATGCAGGAATGCGAACGGCTTCTTTTATTTACGTTCACTGGCAGAGAGGACGGTGATGGACTCACACGTGCGAAGCTACCCTACAAACCTGACCATTCTTGTCTCAAGATCAAAGCTTTGTTGCCCATGAATTCTTGCTGAACAGCTCGACCATTGAGCATCTGTTAGAGCGGTTACCCGATTCCGGTGACGAGCGCAGTAACCGGGGCGGATCAAGGTGTGATGGGAGGTGACTGTTCCGCAACGCATTGGCCGCGAAGTGTGCCCAGCAGTGCGGTTCCAATGTGTCCCCGACCAACCAGTCGAAACACAAGTAGCAGTGGTTAACTTCCGACAGAAGGCGGTCTAAGCAGGTTGCCTTGTCCTGACGGACGCAGGACTGAATGTGGAGGCTGCGTCAGTACTTGTGTAGTCTACAAGAATGTCAATTCGAGCTCAGCGGTAACAGGATGGGTGGGGAAAACTTACACGTTCAGTCGCCGCTTGCAACATGCGATGGGTCAGACGATATCGACAGTAGGTATACCTGGGAGACAAAGTACATCGAAGTCTTGAGAGCATAGGGAATAGAGGTCACGGAGAGCATCCTACATCTCATCCAATGGCATTAGATTGGTTAATGCCATCTTCCCTGCGAGTCGTCCTCGCTGCAGAGTGCGTTCATGTTTCTTCATCTTAGAGACATACTTGCTCCCTCCCTAGACTTGGTCAACTTCCGTGTGCGCTCCTCTTGTGGACCCATTTCTCTCTGCTTGAGCCCATAATTTCTCTGCGGCAGCATCTTGTCCGCCATGTCAGAACGGTATCAGGAGAAGGCGAGGAGGAGCGGAGAGAGCAGGAAGATTCCCGAGGGTCGGATGGCGAAGCATGCCCAGATTTGGGCTCCATTATGTGCTCCTCGAGAACGAACCTGCATTCAGCGGCAGGGAGTGAAGGGCGGTACCTGGACCCTAGGAGCCCAGAAACCGGCCACGACCACCGCCCGACGCGCCGACATGACCACAGGACGAATTGGATGAGGAGGACGGCGAGGTGCAGTCATGAGGTGACGGGTTTGAAAGCGGCACGGTCGCGGGTGATCTCCAAGTGAGCGGCGAGCAGATCTTAATTATTCTGCTTGTGCCGCCAAGCCAGTGACGTTTGGCGGTCGCCTCCCTTTTGGTGCCTAAGCGTGCACGCGTGCCAGGGTGCCGGGCACTGTATCAGTGGCGCAGGCTGCGGCATCCCCATCCATGTTCTGTGGAGAAATGACCGCATTCACATCTGCTATACAAAGTCTCAGGACTACTCCCTGCCTTGTCGTCGATGGTGGCAGACTTCTCCTCAACCGTGGACATACTCGATACCATCTCTCGCGATGAAGCCACGAGCATGACGCTGTCCAAGTATCCTCACGATAATCGTCCGAATGTGGGCGGCAGGCCTCCAGATTGACGTCTTCCGACCACAAATCAAAGGCTCACACCATGCCCCCTTCCTCCGTTGCTTCCATCCCCACGGAGAAGGACAAGGATGCTCAGAAAGACCGGGATAGCCCTTCTGCATCCTCCATTTTCCTTCCCCTCGGAAGAAGAACTCGTCGAGACTCCAAGTCATCCCTGTCCCACGATCTCGACCAAGATGCCCTCAAGCATGCGCTCAATACCATCCATACCGCGGCATCCCAGTCAAACCACTTGACGGTCTTTAATGACTACGCCGATCCCCCGACGGCCTCCTCTCAAGCGGAGAACAAGTCTTTGGCGAGCGAAATACAAGGAGGCATATCCGGCTTGTACAACAAATTGAAAGCTACCGTCGGTGGTTCCAGGGAAGGTGAAGAACATCATCAAGATGCGTCCTCTAACCCCTCGGCAGGGGATGATCGAACCAGCTCCAAGATCAGCTCCGGTATCACGTCCAAGGCACCTTCGCCCCGACTGACAGCCTCAGACACGACGCTTTCAATCGATCTGGCGCCGTCGAAAGTCTCTTCGAAGGCTACAAGCATTTCGAAGCCCTCGATACCCTCTACACCCGCTCTCCGTTCACCTACCGGTCCTCCCCAGCCTTCTTCCCACCTTGCTGACCCTTCGGTGACTTCAGTTAATATCCATGCTGTTGGCTCGGCGAATCATTCGAGGGCTGGGTCTGCGTTCGAACTCGATTCTCCTCACGAGCGGAGTCTGACAGCTTCTGCAGATAGCGAAAGTCTGCGCAAAGCTCTTTCCAAGCAAGGGACCGAGACGTCCTTCGCCGAGAGGGGGAACAAGCTGATAACATCGCCTCTTCTGAGTGCCAGGGGAGTGGCTGTATCCCACGATCGAGGACTGTCAACTGCCTCCAATCAAAGTCACTATAGCCATGTTGATGGTGTGGCCAGCCCGCCATTGTTGACATCGCCTCAGGCGGAGCGATCGACTGCCCGAATAGTGATGGCGAATAGACAAGATAACTCTTCACAGTTGAGGCACAGCAACCCTCTAGACCTCTTGGCTGAAAATGCAGTCAACTCCACCAAAGCCTCAGCCTCGTCTCAGGGCAAGCCTAGTGAAGTTTCTGGCTTGAAGTCACCCCTGCTATCGACGTTGGAGCAAAGACCGTCAGAGAAACTGGCCCCAAAGATAAGCCAGTCAAGATTGCCAGGCTTCTATGCCTCGCGAACAACTTCATCAGACTCATCGGTCACAGCTGGCATGTTGCGTGCAAATCTGGATCCCCGTGACGATGACTCGCGCAGTATCGTCATACACCGCACTCCCCAAGCGAGACCGATCAGCAAGCTGCGTAGCAAGTTGTTGAGTAAAGAGTTCTGGATGCGAGATGAGAATGCAAAAGACTGCTTTCATTGTGGCGAGCAGTTCACTACATTCCGACGGAAGCACCATTGTCGCACGTGCGGCCAGATCTTTGACAGTAAGTGCACGGTTCTCATCAATGGGAGTCACTTCGGGTCCAACAGTGCCGTTCGTGTCTGCAAACCGTGCGAGTCCATAATCACTTCCCACGACGACGACTCGTCTGATTATTCGGCTGAAGATCTGGCTTTGACGGAACCGGCTCCTCGTCCACGGACTCCTGAACCCTCTCATCTTGCCCGCGTCCTGCCCCGATTTGAGGATGACAATGCTTCAGTCACTTCGCAATCTCTCGAGCAAATGGCCAGGACGCCCACAATGAGCTTTCCAGTACGACGAGCTTTCGATGGGGCCAACCGCAATTCTGCTGTGCTGGAGTTCGATACAACCGATCGACCCCTCCCTCGACCAAGCTCCTCTAGGTCCTTGAAAGCAACTCATTCTATTGGGCATAGCCACAAGAGGCATCACTCCAGACATCAGCACATACGCAATTTCAAGGCTTACCATGAAGATAGAGCACCTTTCCAACGTCGTGCTGCCGACGACGGAATCAAAGTTGGCAAGTCTTCAGCGTTTCATCGCGACAGCATCATTGACCCTGATCTTGCACAATATCTCTCGGATGACCCCTCGAGTGAGGAAGACCAGTCCATCAGTGAAACCTTGAGTCAAGATAAATTGTCCCGTAGCGAACCTGACAGCGACAAAAGCGCGATAGGGGGTCTTTTGGCAGCCGTGCGCAAGGGTCGTTCTCGCCTAGGGGATCGGAGTATCGCTGGATTTCTCAACATGGGAAAAGAAGCCGACGAAGCCAGTGTCATCAGTTCGCGCAATATAGAAGCACTTCGGGGTTCTCGGAAGCGGAACCTCAGTGTTTCGAGTAGTATCCATCGCGGAACACCAAGAACAACGAGAGAGCGACTGCAAATTATTATCCCCGGAAATCAAGACGATCTGCAAGACCTCGGAGACACAGCAAGTATCTACCGAGGCCGATCAAGGATGATACGAAGTGCATCTATGCATGGGATGGCTGCACCAGCCATGGAGCTCAATCGTGCGAGTATCCAACATGTGCATAAAATGCTTCAGCAGCTTCTCAGGGACGCGAACATACCGAAAGTCCAGAGTTGGCAGGATGCTCTCATTCCTATCTTGCTCAAAGCGACTGATGATGTCGATCCAGATGTCCAGGGCGGAGACGACATAGATATTCGTAACTATGTCAAGTTGAAGAAGATTCCTGGCGGCAAACCTGGTGACACTGCATACATCTCCGGCTTGATCTTCACAAAGAACGTGGCTTTGAAGAGCATGGCTCGATCCCACACGAACCCCAAGATCTTGATAATCACTTTTGCGCTCGA